TTAACAGTTTGACTCTAAAGTGCCTAGGTGTGGTTTTCTTTGTATTTATCATACTGGGTTTCACAGAGCTTTATGGATCTATAGTTTGTGTGTTTCATAAATTTTGACAAATTCTCAGCCATTATCTCTTCAAATATTTCTTCTGCCCAGTTCTCTCTTTTTTCTGGGACTCCAGTTAAATGTATATTAGATTGTTCACTATTTTTCTACAGGTCTATGACACTCTTTTGGTTTTTGTTTCTTTCTTCTTTGTGTTTCATTTTGGATCATTTCTATTTACTAGTCTTCGAATTCACCTATCTTTTTTTCTGATGTGCCCCAGTTTCCTGTTAAGCCCATCCAATGAATTATTCAATTCAAACATTTTTTTTAATTCTAAAATTTCCATTTGGATCTTTTTTAGACCTTCCATTTCTGTGTTGAAATTCTCCCTCTTTTCACTCATTTTTGTTCATCTTTTTCTCTAAATTCTTTAACAAATTATAAATGCCCTTGTCTTATAATTCTTACATCTAGATCATCTGTGGATCTGCTATTGACAGGGTTTTGTTTTGTTTTCTCTTGATTAAAGGCCACATTTTCCTACTTTTTTTTGTCTTGCAACTTTTTAATTATAGGCCAGATGTTAAGTTATAAAAGAGTAGTAGAGACAGAAGAGGGTAGTAATAACTTGCCCATTTGTCTCTCAGACAGTTTGGCTTAGGGGCCAATCTCTTTGATATAATCAGAAGTTGAGCTGAGATGGGGTTTTAGTTATTTTGGGTTCAACTCTTGTTTCAAATACCTTGAGAGTGAGGTTGAGCCCCACCTTTCAGCAGAACTTTGAGATCTAAGTTCTGCAAGTCTACAAGATTTCTTTCTGCTTTCCAGACCTGCCTTCAATTTGTGGTACTAGCACTTACTCAGGAAAATTCTTGTGAGGAGGAATTGGCAGGTTGGGAGGGCTTAGCTCTGCCTCTGGGCTCCTTGAGATGCTCATCGACAGCCCTGCTCATCTGTTAAAGACTTAACTGGTTTCTCCTTTTCCCTGCGAAATTCATTGCCTATGGCCAGCTTACTCCTCTGCCAATCCTTGCCCCCAGGGGATGAATTGGTCCCTGATTTGGTTTACCTAGCAAGGACACATTTCTTACTGAATTTTTTCTATTTAATCTTTTTGCTTCCACAGCTTTTTGATGACTTTTGATGATTTTCTTAGTTTATCCAATGTTTTCTTATTGTTACAGTAGAAGTGGTGGTCTTTTGTGACCCTTCAGATCCTAATTGGAAGTGTAACTCTGAGCACATAATGGAAGTAGAACTCCTTTCTGTATATCCCTCTTACCGCCAACACTGGGATAAATTTAACAGACAGAATTTAGGTATACTTTTGTGTGTGTCTCTGTAGCTAGCAAATGAGCCATGATTGGGAGTGAAGAGTCGTCACATCATGACAGTAATGGCATCTGGTGTGGATTTAGGCCGTTCCAGACCTTCTTCATATGGAACTTAAACAAGTCTCCTTCAGATAGATTTCAACATTGGCTTTCACTGCCAGGTCTATGTTTGCATCTCTCTACCATCTCTGTAATGCAGACTTGTATTGGATGTGGGGTCCTTAATTTTGGAAATCTGCCTGGAAGTAAAATGGCACAAACATTCAATGAAAATTATTATCATGAAATGTATTAGCTCTATATTATGTACATTATAGGGCAACTTTATTTTTTATTTATGTATAACCTGCCAGGTAATTATTACTCAGATGACTTTTGTTCTTATGGGGTAGATTTATGTGTGTGTGTGTGTGTGTGTATGTGTGTATGTATGATGTATGATGTAGCGTGTGTCAGTGCTTTGTTACTTTGTATGGCTGAATAATATTCCATTATATGTATATACTACAATTTGTCCATTCATCTGTTGATAGACGTTTGGGCTGTTTCTTTTTGGCTATTGTCAATAATGCTGCTATGAACTTGGATGTATATGTACTTGTTCAAATACCTGTTTTCAGTTCTTTTGAGTATATATCTAGAAGAGGAATTGTGGAGTCATATGATAATTCTGTTTAATTTTTGAAGAACCACCAAACAGTTTTTCATGGTGCCTGCACTGTTTGACATTCCTACCGGTAATGTGGGTTCCAAAGTCTCTACATCCTTGCCAGTGCTTGTTGTTTTCCACGTTTTTGATTATAGCCATCCTAGTGGGTGGGAAGGGGCACCTCATTGTGGTTTTGATTTACATTTCCATAGTAACTCTTTTTTTTTGGCTTAAACAACAGAAATTTATTTTTTCACAGTTCTGGGGACTAGAAGTCCAAGATCAAGGTATTGATAGGGTTGGTTTTTTTCTAAACCCTCTCTCCTTAGCTTGTAGACGGCTGTCTTCCTCCAGTGTCTTCACATGGTCTTTTCTCTGATCTGTGTCCTAATCTTTTTTTATAAGGTTACCAATCATATTGGATTAGGGCCCACCTTAATGATGTCATTTAACCTTAATTACCTCTTTAAAGACTCTTTCTTCAAATAAAGTCACTCTCTGTGGTATGGGGTGTTAGGACTTCAACATGTGAATTTGTGGGGGGCACAATTCAGCCATAACATGGTATAAGCTGTCGCATGAGTTTTGGGATTATAAATGTTTGAAACATACTTGTATCTAAGAAATGAGAAAAATCTCATAGATACTGAGTGATTCAACTCTAAAGCAAACAATAAAAAAATCTGCTTTCAATAACTTATTACTATTGGTTTTATAATTTAACCTATTTTCATTTTGGTTCGAAACAATGTGCTTCCAATAAAATAATCAGATTCCTTTTTATGCATTCCTCAGTAAATGGTTTTGGGCACTATGGCAACTTGAGATTTCCGTTGAAATCCTCATCATCATCTTTAGCATTATCATTATCGTCATCATCATCATCATCAAGCTAACGTTTATTTCCTAATGACTATTGATGCTGAGCATCTTTTTATGTATTGGTTGGCCATTTGTATATCTTTGAAGAAATATCTGTTCAAGTCCTTTGCTAATTTTTAAATTGGGTTGTTTGGATTGTTTTAAATGAGTTGTCTTTTCATCGTTGAGTTATGAGAGTTCTTTATATACTGGATACTAGACCATTATCAGAAATATGATTTGCAAATATTTTCTCCTATTCTGTAGATCGTCTTTTCACTCTCTTGATAATATGCTTTGATGCACAAAAGTTTAAAATTTTTTTTATTGTGGTAAATAATACATAACATGAGATCTACCCTCTTAACAAATTTTTTAAGTGCACAGTATTGTTAACTATAAGTACAATGTTGTACAGCAGATCTCTGGAATTTTTTCATCTGGCATGACTGAAATTCTATACCTACTGAATAGCAACTCTCTCTTTCCCCCCTCCCACCAGCCCCTGGCAACCACCATTCTATTTTCTGCTTCTATGTGTTTGGCTACTTTAGATACCTTATATAAGTGGAATCCTTCTGTGACTGTTTATTTCACTTAGCATAATGTACTCAAGTTTCATCCACGTTGCAGCATCTGACAGGATTTCCTTCTTTTTTATGGCTGAATAATATTCAATTGTATGTATGTACCACATTTTCTTTTTTTTCATTGGGAGAACTCTAGGTATTTATTTGACCAAACAATATTCTTTTAGCAAACTTTTATCAGCTGTGATTTGGCAGTAGGATATGGGAACAAACATGAAAAAGACGTAATAATTGACTTCAAGGATCTGCTGTGTAGAGATGTGGGGCTGTGGGTTAGGACACATAAGAAGCATACACAGGGGAGTTTCAGAGCCAAGAAGACAAACTTCCGACTCTGGGGAGGACAGGATCTGGATGGCCTAGAGTAGTTTTCATACTCAGAAGTGAGGAGAAATGTGACTGTACCACATTTTATTTATCCATTCATCTGTTGATGGGCATTTAGGTTGTTTCCACCTCTTGGCTAATGTGAAGAATGCTATGTTGAACATGGGAGTGCAAATATCCCTTTGAGAACCTGAGTTTAGTTCTTTTGGATAAATTCCCAGAAGTGGATTTTTTGATTATATGGTAGTTCCACTTTTAAGTTTTTGAGGAACCTCCATACTGAAAAGCTTTTAATTTCGATGAAGTCTAATTTATCTGTTTTTTTCCTTTGTGGCTTATGCTTTTGGTATCATATCTGAGAATTCATTGCCAAATCCATGATCATTAAAGATTTACACCTATGTTTTCTTCTAAGAGTTTTATGGTTTTAGCTCTCATATTTAGGTCACTGATCCATTTTGAGTTAATTTTTTTATATAATATGAGGTGGGGATCCAACTTCACTCTTTTGCATGTGGCTATCCAGTTTCTCCAACACCATTTGTTGTTCTTTCCTCATTGAATGGTCTTGGTACCCTTGTTGAAAATCAATTGGCCATAGATGTATGGGTTTATTTCTGGACTCTCAATTCTATTCTTGTGGTCTATATGTCTACCCTTATGCCAGTACTGCACTGTTTTGATTACTATAGCTTTGGATTAATTTGAAATTGGGAAGTATGATTCTTCTAACTTTGTTTTCCTTTTTCAAGATTGTTTTGGTTGTTTGGGGCCTTTTGCAATTCCAAATGAATTTGAGGATCAACTTTTCCATTCTGCAGTTCATTGTTCTTTATTGCTGAGTAATATTGTATTGTATTAATATACCAATTGGTTTATCCAGTTTTCTATTAAATACATTCTGTTGATGGAGGATGGATAAGCACATGTATTCTCTTCTTAAATCTGTGTTTTCTTTATCACGTTATCTTGGGACTAAGGGTTCTGTTTTCATCAAGCTCTACCTTGAGTGAATTTATTCAAAAGTATTTGTTGCTAAGGAACCAGTGGCTTTTGGCTACCTATTTTATATTCCAGCTTTAGAAAATACTGTGTTTTCAAGGCATAATATTTTCTATTCATGATTTATACATGTTTTATCAAGAAAAATCACACTTTGAAACTGTTTTGCAAATAATTTACCCTCTTTCTTCGCAGGTGCCATTTTTATCTCCTTTGGAAGGTCATATTTATTTAAAAATAAAGTGTCAAGTGAATTCAAGTGTTGAAGAAAGAGGTTTTCTAGTAAGTAAGATCATTTAATCTATATTTTATTTTTTTCCATTTTGTGAAATGTAGACTTGAAATGAAAGCCTATGTGATTAGGTGATAAATTGGTTCAGTAAAGATGTGTTGCACATCCATTGTATGCCAATCACTGTGCTGGTGTTGGAATATAATAGGCCCCCAAAAATAATGCCTCTATTCAGGACTTTTAGTTTAACAGGGAGAAATACAAGTGAACAGGTAAGTACAATATAGTACTATAATAAGAGAAAGCATAAAGTGCATGGGTGTAAATTGGTGGGATATTAGGTTTTGAGTATGGGTAGGGAGGCTTAAAGAAGGCTGTTGGAAGCAGTAACTGGTAGACTGCTAACTGAATAAGTTAGCTAGAGGGTAAGGGGAGGGAGAAGTGCTCCAGATAAAGAGAGGAGCATGTCCAATGGCCTGGAGGGCCCTTCCCTCTCACCCCCACCAGCGAAAAGGATAACACATTTACATAGTGGCAGGTATTTCAGGATAGCTGGAGCTTAGAGTTTGAGTGTGTGTGTGTGGAGGAGGGGCAATGAGGAGAATGATTGGGAAGGAAAGTATGGTTAGGGGAAATGGAGCCAAGTGTTAAAGGGGTTTTTAAAGAATTTGGACTTTATCCTGAAGCCAGTAGAGTACTCTTGTAGAATTTTAAGCAGAGGAATAACATCCAATTTGGGATTTAGAAAAGTCATTCTGACTGACATGTGGAAAGTGGACTGGAGAGTGATGACCTTGAAGAAGACTAGTGAGGAGACTGCGTTACTCCATGAGAGAGGTGATGGGGACTGGTACTCTGGATGAAGAGAAGGACCCGTCATGGAGAGATGAAGAAGGAAGGAAGGCAGACCCTAGTGATTTGGCTCTAGTGGGTGGAAAAGCAGAAGTAAGGATGTCACCCAGATCTCAGCCTTGCACAACTTCTTGGGTGGCAGTGATGCCACTGAGGGACCTTGGGGAGGAGCAGGTGTGCATGTTTGGGTGGAAAGTATTTTTTTCCCCTAAAATTTTGTTGTGAAAAATTGCAAACATACAGCAATGTTGATAGAATTTTACAATGAACACTCATATACCCACCATCTAGATTTTGCTTTTAACATTTTTTGCTGTCCTTGCTTTACCATATATCTATCACTTAGCCATTCTTTTAGCCATCCCTCTAACCATTGCTGAAAATATCATGTTTTGGGGAAAGAATTTCAAAGTATATTGTAGACATTAACATGTTCCCCTAAATCTTAAGTATACATCCTCTAAGTTTTGACACATGCATATATCTGTGTAACCCAAATTTCTATTAAGATATAGAAGATTACCCCAGAAAGTTCCCTCATGCCCCTTGACAGTCAATCCCCACCCAAGGTGGGAAGTTTTAATGAGTTAAGTGTTAAACTATTTGAATTTTAGATATGTAGACACATGTTTCAAAGATCTGGGTTTGGAGCTCAAGATAGACATTTTAGTTGATATGAAGATTTGAAAATCTGCAGCATAGAGATAGTAATTGAAGCACAGGGGGAGCTGAGTAAAGCCGACCCAGGAAGAACACTAACATTTAAACCACAGCCCTAGGAAGAAAAGCTCTCAAAGGAGACTACAGGGAGGGCGGTGGAGAATTTAGTGTCCTGTTTGCCAAGGGAAGAGAGTCTGAAAGAGGGAGTGATAAAATTAGATAAGGATCATTAGAGACCATTGGACATATTTACAAGGTGGTCATTCTAGTTTTTATGAGAGCAGAAACTAGATTGCAAATGGTTATGATACTGAACCACTTAATCTCAAGTTCCTGTGCCTGATACGCAATACGCCAATCACTCAGACACTGGTGCTTGGAGATGGAGAAAGGTTTATTTGAATTGGCCCAAAATGAGAAGGCGGGAGGATAGGTTCTCTCAAAGCTGCCTTAATGAAAGAAGACAGCCAGGGGGTCTTTATAGAGCTAAGGGGCTTGGGAGGAGGAGTTTCAAAGAAACAAAGGGGAATTCCATGTTTCTTGCACTCCAGATAAGCCCTTGGGCAATCAGATTTCTGGGTGTCAGGGGCAGCTGGGAGCTGGTTATTTAGTGATTGTAATTTCCTTAAAGACATTCTTTTTCTTCTGCAAAACAAGCACATAATTCCTTGTGACCCTTGAGTCACCCCTTAGGTTAAAGAAGAAAATAGCAAATTAATAAGATTAACTTCTTTTCATCTGTGACGTGTTGAGAACAAGGTCAAAGGTAATCATGTTCTTACTGAATATTTACAGTAACCCTCAGGTACCTGCTTCAGTTATAAACGGAGTGGGAGGTGAGGAATGAGGGTGCTAGCAACAGCCTGAAACAGGGTGTGGCTGCAAAGGAGTAAAGAGATACAGTGTGGGACTTGCAGAGCCCTGTAGGGTGAAAGAAGGATTTTGTTGACATTTTATTAAGATTGGAGAGACTTGAGAGTCTTTAAATTGAAACAAGTAGCTTCTAATAGGGCCAAAGAGGTTGACGATAGAGGCAGTGGGGAACCTGCACTAGGGTTAAGGAATTCTTAATACTTGAAGCAAGGTCATGAGAGTGAGAAGATATAAGACTCAAACCACAGTTCGCGGGATTGATCTTATACAGAATTATTCTTTTTCCATTATATCAGAGGAGAAAATCATGTGTGTAGAATACATAGAAGATTCTGGGTGTGGTACAAGAAGAGAGAAAATTTCATAGCTTTGGTTTTCTTTGTGAAGCAGGAATTTGAACAATGCAAGTGATATCACAAATCAGTTTGCGTTTGCTGTCAAAGGGTACACAAAGAAGGGCTAGATTTACAGAAAGCCCAGTGGCCAAGGTGACTGTAAATCAGAGTTTAACTTTTTTCACATGTAAATCCAGCAGATGGCACTAGATATCCTTGAAAAAGCATTTTTATAAATTTCTGACTTGAAGGCAGTGTTTGCCTACTGACCTTTTCTTTTAATGTAAATATTTTCATATTTTATTGTAGACACCTTTAGCAACTGATAGACTATTATGGCATCTAGTTCATTTGTATATAGTGTCTGACCTATTTAATTTTTGAGCTGGGGTCTTAACTAGTTTGGAGTTAGATCTCTTCAGGTTTACTCTGTCCTGAATCCTATAGCCCATTCTTATCACATCCACACACATTTACAGAAATGTGGTAAGAAATTGCTCAGGATTCCCCAGAATAACTTCTGTCCCCTGTCTAAACAATGCCTTTTCATGACCTCTACCCTCTATAAAAAGTAGAGGTAGTCATTGAAATGCAAGTTGCATGATTCAGTTTTCCTTCCTAATGTGTCAGGGACTGCTGGGAGGAAGGAGACTACTGACCAGAGCAACTTGCTAAGTGATTCTAAATGGTGCTGGTCTAGCTCTGCATGGGCTGATGAGCAGCAAGAGAAGTACCTTCTGGATTAGCTAGAGAGTTCCAGTTCTGCTTTGTGATTCTGTGTTGTCATTTAATTTCCTTGACCCTCCACTTCCTCAGCCATAAAAATGAAAAAACTGTCCCTTGTTATTCCTCTCTGATGATAGTAGAGTGTAATAAAACTTGTGTTATTTTATCCATCAATTTTTCCTTGTCTTTTACCTTTATGGTGTAAAAGATGAACATAAACACAAAAGAGAGCTGGTGAGTCATTTGTACTAACTTTGGGCTTGAGATTGAAATAACAAGATTCCTGTATTTTCCCGTGGGTGGCTGTGAGCAGTGTTGCCTAGAAAACGCATGTGTTGGGGAGGAAACAGGATAAACTGGGGAGGAGAAAAAAAAAAGGTGGGGTAAGGGGATATATGGTTGGAGTCAGCTAATTCATTAAGCTAATAAATTTGAGGTCTCATTCTGTCATGGAGACATTTCTTCACACAAAGTAACTTTCCTCCATGGCCAGAGATTGCACTCCGAACTCAATCTACCTTTTGTTCAATTCACACAAATTAGTGAATCTAGAAGAGTGTATATCCCACTATCATTGGGTTGGTGTAAGGCTTAGTTGAGCCATTTGAAGGTGGAAAAGCCTTAAGGCATTCTGAAATCAAACACAGAGATGCCTTTGGATTATCTATATTAAGGGTCAGCAAAGTACGGCCCACTGCTTGTTTTTATAAGGTTTTATTGGAACATGAGCTCATTACATATTGTCTATGGCTGCTTTTGCACTACAACAGTAGAATCGAATAGTTGTGACAGAACCCCTATGGCCCATGAAGTCTAAAATCTTTACTGTCTGGCTCTTTACAGAAACACTTTACTAACCCGTGATCTATAGGATCGTTACATTTTTACCTTCCTTTGTTTTTTAATGTAACAGTTCCTAAAGGAATTCTTTTTTTTATTTAAAAGTAAGAACTTTTATATAAGTTAGGGCTCCAATATGACTACAACTAAAAAATAGTGGGGAGAAAAAGCAGCTTCTACTTATGCTGCTTAAGTACAAGTACTTCCATGGAAAAAGCCACGTTATTAGTTACCTATTCCAGATTCCTCTCCTTAACCAAGACGACTGCTTCCCCTCTTTTTAAAATGTAACTTGCATTCCCAAGGCATGAGCTGGCAATGACCTGACTGCAGGGAGATGCTACTTCCAGGTGTGCTTGATGGCTCAGCAGTAGACTGGAGTTCTGATGTTTATCACAGTACTCCATCAAGGCATAGGATCATGAGTGGACTCTTTTCTAATACTGTTTTGTTCTCCTGAATAAACATTAAATGCCAGCCTTCCATATTAAAATGTCTAACAATTCATTTGTTTTTTCATTAGCTATCATTAGTTTATTCAATATATAAGGTATGATATTCTCATATCATTTTACCCTCCAACACTTGAAGCACTTTTCTCTTATTTAAGGAGCATTTGGTTAGGGATACCACGTTTTTAAAAAGTCTAAAATTAGATAGCAGTATTTATTTGGGGTTAATATCTGAAAGTTCTCTTATGCTTGTGTATGATGTTGAAAATCTATGTAGTTTTGGATTTGAGCAATCAGTGATTTTCATTACTGAGATAAAAGACATGATGAAAATCATGCAAGTAGATTTTGAGGTATGAAATATGTCAGCATATTGAAGTTTAATGTAAAGAGTTAGCATTTAATTGGTCGTGAAGTTTCTGAAGCATTTCATTGACTTTTCCAGACCATATTTGAAGATGTTAGCGGTTTTGGTGCCTGGCATCGAAGATGGTGTGTTCTTTCTGGAAACTGTATCTCTTATTGGACTTATCCAGATGATGAGAAACGAAAGGTAATTTTAATAGTACTGGTCAGTGGTGAAAGCCCTGACTGACTTTCGTGTAGCGTTTCATGCAAGTGTTCCCTCTGGCCCCCACCAGCCACCCAAATTCCCCTTTGAGTGTATTTACTAAACCATTAAAAATGTTCTTGTTGCAAGACCTGTGTGTGTGCGTGTGCGTGTGTGTGTGTGTGTGTGTGTGTGTGTATTTGTGTAAAAATGTTGTATCTTATCCATTCCTTGTGATTTAACCACTCTTAAAATACCTTAAGGCATGTATTTGTCTTTCTTTTCTCCTGGAATGTTTCATAATTTTTTTATTGACATTTTCAGAAATACATTAAATTCAATTTTGTATTTTATGAGCTAGTTGATTTACCCAAATCTGGGATAAGAAGTAAAGGAAGACCACCCACAGGAATACAGTGGTTTTCGGTTTGTTTCTAAATTTGATAACAGGATTTTGTGTAATAAATTGTATCTCATTTTTTAAGAATTTAATGTTATCGCCCAAGTATGATTATTTATTATCCCTAAACTAGAAAACAGAAATAAGCAGAATTAAAAAGTAAAATCATCCATAACAGAGACAACTATTTTTCATATTTTGGTTGTATATCCTTCTAAACTTTTAAAATGTATAATTTATAAAAATAATTATATATCCACTTATGAATCTTTTTTAAACAAAAACCATCATGTTTTTTATAACCTGAGTTTTACTTAATAATGTATCCTGACATCTTTTCACATCAGTAAAGATACATCCATAACGTGTTTAATAGCTATCTTTATTACATTGTACCCATTTAAAATTTTATTTAAAAATTGGTGAAATATTTAGGACAAAAAGACATAAAAAACAAATAATTTCCATCAACCTCTGTGTTATCAGTCCAGTTGAAGCTCCCCATGTAATTTTCTCTCCCCCCCACAGAGGTAACATCCCTTGCCAAGCTTCCTCTTTTTTTTGCTGAGGAAGACTAGTCCTGAGCTAACATCTGTGCCCATCTTCCTCTATTTTGTATATGGGATGCTGCCACAGCATGGCTTGATGAGCAGTATGTAGGTCTGCGCCCGGCATTTGAACCTGCAAACCCCGGGCCACCGAAGCAGAGCATGCAAACTTAACCACTATGCCACCAGGCCGGCCCCCCAACAGTTATTAATTTTTATGTTTCATTTATGTCTTCAGAAGACACATACTTTTTTGTTCTTTTGTTTTGCTAGGATGTTTTAAAGCAAATACCAGGCTTCATGTTATATCATTTCACATGCGTGAGCAAAGACTGCGGGTTCCTAGTGTTGGCAAATGCTCCAAGGGAAGGCAGGTTTCGGGCTAGCTTACCATTGGTGTCTTTTCCTTTCTTGTAAGTTCAGTTATCTAGTATTTGGAGGGTTATGTAATGGGAGGATTCTCTGACTATTTAGTTTGCCATACTTGCTGGAGACATAATATCATTATTTGTTTAAATAGTCTCCTATTACTGTCATTTAATTTATTTCAAATTTTTCACTATTATGAAAAAATAGTTACTACACCTATATAAACATCTTTGTGCACTTATATATTTGCTTAGGATAAATTTCTTTTAGGCAGAATTGTAGGATCAGAATATGCCCATTTTGGATGTTTTTTGATTGCTGTTATCAAATTGCCTGCCAGTAATAGACCATTTTATACTTTCACAGCAGTGTATAAGAGTTTATTTACTCACCTCTCCAATCAGTCAACAGAGATTATTACTCTTCTTTTCAGACTTAGCCAATCTAATGTTTCAAAATGGTATATTTAATTTTAACTTCTTTTTTAAATTACTGATGGAGTTGACGCTTTTATTGGCTGTTTCTAAACTGTTTGTGCCCATAAATGTCCCTTTTCCCATTTTTCAGGACCATTTAGTCTCATGAATTTTTATCTTTGACTCTCATACCATAGGAATGGCATGACTTCCAACGATCTGAAGCAATTGTTTGGCTTTATCTTTCAGAGATACATAAAAAATATTTACAGATGAAATAAGATGTCTAGGTTTCTCTTTATAGACAGGGAGAAAGTGGCTGGCTATAGATGAGAGATGGTTGAATATGTATTTCGATTTGTTGAAGCTGGTTGATGGGTACATGGAAGTTCATTATACTATTCTTTTTATTTTGTGTCTGTTTGAAGTTTTCCATAGCAAAGAGTTTATTTTTTAAGTTGGCTAAGAGCTCCGGTTGACATTTTTGGTTTCTGTTTTTATGTTCAGCAAGAAACAATGACAAATATTAAATATGTTTCTCTAAGTCTGGTGTAATTAAATTTTAACTTTTAAATTAATGGCTTTTTAATTTTAATTTTGTACCAACTTAAATACTCCTTAATGCTTACTGACTTAAATGGTCTTGTTTATTTTCTATCAATAATTTTTTAAAAAATTTGTTTTTAAAGAATCCCATAGGAAGGATAAATCTGGCCAATTGTACCAGTCGTCAGATAGAACCAGCCAACAGAGAATTTTGTGCAAGACGCAACACTTTTGAATTAATTACTGTCCGACCACAAAGAGAAGATGACCGAGAGACTCTTGTCAGCCAATGCAGGGACACACTTTGTGTCACCAAGTATGTATTGGGTTATAAATATTTCTATCAACTAAGTAATCGATTGCCCACTATGTTCTTACCACGGTAAAAAATATCAGAGATGGTCCTTGCCTTTGAAGATGGTACAGTTTTCATGAGAAAACAAAAGACACACACAGCAGTAAGAGAACAATCTATAATAACTAAATATAGTTAAGAAAAGCATAACATTCAAGTTTTGTCTTAGCTAATCATGTTTTCCAATATACTCACAGTGTAGCCATTTTCAAAGCAGTTAGCTAATAAACTTTGGGTTAAGTTTGAAGATTTCCGGTGTAATAGAAAAGTCATTTATTATTTAAAGATATTTTATACATCCCTTCCTTTCCATTCCAAAAATGCCCTCAGTTAATCAGGTGACTTACAAAAATAATCTCATTCTACTCCACAAATTTCTGGTTGGAAATTAACAGAATAAACTATTGAGAGTGTCACTTTTTTGTTAACCCTAGGCTTATGTATATGACACAAAAGCTTACTAGTAAGAGTCTAAGATAGGTTCTTTTGCTTGGATGCCCAAGAGAAGCTTGAAGACTGACTTCAATTTACAAAGTTGTGATTAGGCATAAAAGTTAGAATTTGACAAAGTCTCTATTAATCAGGCTGTTGCTGGATATTGCAGACAGAGAGATGCATAGAACTGACTCCATGAGTTTCTGACGTGGAAATATCAGAAAGCTACAGCCAAGAGACACTATATTAAAATAGAACAGAATTGCCCACATACTACCAATTTGTTTTAAAATAACTAGATAGGGGACCCATTCTTTGGAAATTCTTGATATCTAGGTTACTTTCAGATTAACCCAGTTGAACTCATCCATTCCTTTCCTTTAGGGGGCCTTCTATGCTGCAGTGGCATCAGACAGATCAGGAGAGGCAAAGCGGATTTACAGTCATTTTGTTTGATAGCTGCCCTGACCGTGGCCACTGTCAGCAGGGAATCAACCCAAATTGATGAAAATTCAGTACCCAAGTAGTTCCTGACCACGATGGCCCATTCTTTTAAACATTACTCACATTTTTCCTATAGTCTTATCTTTTACCTGCTACATAAACCCTCCCAGACTTCTCCTTCGACCTTCTGTGGTAGAAATACCTAGATCACGTGTTGCTCTAATTACTCTGTACTTCATTTGCTTATAGTTTTTCTCATTATAACATTATCATGGTTTGAGCAGACACTTCTTTATCCAAGCATTTGAGAGTGGTGCATTCTCAATTCATTTTTGGCTCAGTCTTTAGCTTTGCTTGGTCGCTTCTTAAAACTTATTTCACTTTTTTGATCATATATTTTGCAGAATATAAACATGTTACAGTTCTGCATTCTCCTTTGCCTCATTTATCTGTTTCTCCACAGGGCCTTTTTGACCTATACCTTTTATCTTAATTTAATGTATCTTATTTTTATTTCTACTAACCACACTTGCTATCTTCCCCTTCTTCATTATGCAAGATTTCTCTTCTGATCAACACTGCCTACTTTGAAATATACACTACACATTTGAACTAGAAATGTTCCATCACATGGGGAGGCAGTGTTATACAGTGGAGCTGTGAAATCAACAGATCTAGGTTTAAATCTAACTCGATGACTTACCAAATGTAACCATGGCAAGTTCCTTAACTTTTCTGGCTCTCTGAATTTTCCTTTGTCAAAAGGGAAAAATAAACTCCACAGAGTGCCAGTAGAGATTAATGAGTAGACACACTTAGCTCAGTGTCGAGCACATGGACTGAGCTCAACAAATGGTCACTATTATTATTGTAAGTATTATGTTCTCTCCATTGACTAATAGATGATCAACTCACTCCTCATTCATGCTTATACCATTTCTAGTACCAATGAGGAGAAATTATAAAGATGCAGAATGAGTACCATATAAAGACCTTTTAACAATTGGCTGTTCCCTAGAAGAATGATCTGGCTTGTGAGTTAGGGAATTCCCCCTCTCCCATACCTTCGCCTGCCCCATCAACTAGTTATTCAGCTTGTAGCTAAATATGGATGCAAAGAAGAGATTTCTGATATAGACAGAGAGGTTAGGATAGACCAATTCTTAGGATCTTTAGATAATTTATTGTAAGTACCAAGTTCTACTAACATGGTAGAACAAAAATAATGGAAGACAGTACAAACTAGTATTGCCTGTTAAGCCAGGTGAAGTTCCATGAGCCTGTGATTCCAGCTCTTAGGGAGCCCACGTCTGAGGGACGTGGGGAGCTCCCAGATTCAGGCCTGTGGTGTGCTCGCTTTTGCTAGGAAGTGGCCCACACTCAGTGGGTGTCCCATACCACCAGATTGCCCAGGCCAGACCACCTGTACAAGACAGTTAGCATCTTTGGTTTGGAAACTCCATAATTTACCAATTGTAATCAGTGTGAGTTATGATTCAGCTAACTAACCAGTGGCGATAATTTTCCTTTATCATAATTGAAGAAGCACCTCACTATGGGACATTTGATTAACTGCTGTTAAAAGATGGTAAAGAGTAACTCATTTTACTGGTTTGCTTAGGCTCCCCACCTTCCCCACCCCCCACAGCAAAAGTACAGGGAAGTATGGAACCGGGGGAGAGCGTCCTGACCTTTTGTTTGTTCCTGTAGGAACTGGCTGTCTGCAGATACCAAGGAAGAGCGGGATCTCTGGATGCAAAAACTCAATCAAATTCTTGTTGATATTCGCCTCTGGCAACCTGATGCTTGCTATAAACCTATTGTAAAGCCTTAAACTGTAGGAAGTTTCCATGCCGTGTAGAGGTTTTTGAGCTATGTCATAAATGTATCTTAAGAGCATCAGATTTGCTTAATTGCATTTTATGCTTTAAATACGAAAGGGTATGTGCCAATATTCACTACATATTATGCAGTATTTATATCTTTTATATGTAAAACTTCAACTGATTTCTGTTATTCATAGATGATTGGAAGAATGTTCATTATAGTTGATTTTGCTAAATCTTAATTTAAAAGCTCATTTTCTTAGAAATCTAATTATTCAATTTTTCATGATACAATATTTTTTTAGAAGTAAGAAATTTTGAGTTGTCTTCTTGGAGCTGTGGGTCTCAAAGTAGAAAGGTCTTACACAGTTGGAGATAGAAACCTCCAACTTGGTCATCCTTCCTCTGGCCTCAGTGCTTTTTTCTACAGGTTGTGATCATTTATTGATCATGACATATCTTGTTACTAGAAGACTGAAAAAATTTCTAAGGGACTTTACAGAAACATTTTTAGTAATGGAGGTAAGAACTTTTTCAAATAGCAAATGTATATTAGTTTAAAAGCTTGAGGCTGCCTTTAAACAAGATATGGACATAGGGGATATTGTGTGAGATTTGGGAGTTAAATGTTTCGTTTAGAAGTGTTAATAATCACATGGTTTACATTTACTCAGTTACTATAGTTGCTTGTGGTGCACATTTTCATAGAATACAGGCCTTTTTAAATAATTATTTTTGCTATGTAGCTTACAGACTCCTCAAATATACTTGGCATAATAGTTCTTTTTGCTCCTGTAATAAGAACAAATGTAAATTGAAGAGTCTTTATATAAAAAAAGTAAACTTTACCAAGCTGCTACAGACTAATACTTTGCTTGCCAAAGTTTTTGTCTTTTTTTTCATGTCCACCTAGACTGTCTAGAAACCCATTATGAAATCATTTGAAAAACTAATTCATGTATTACCTTTAAAAGCCTAATACTTCATTTTTTATTATAAAATATTGTAAAGCATGGTCTCAACTTTTAAGTACACTTTGAATTTCTTCCCTGAATTGTTAAAGTTATCAATGATTTCCTTTATGAACACTAAATTCTGTCACCTCCTGTCGTTTTATTTTTTATTCATTCAAATGTGTTTTTTCTTATGTGTATTATAAAAATATATTTTATGATCTCACCCGAATAAATATTTGCAAATGGCTTAAAGAATCAGTTATTTAAGAAATGCTGTTTAAATGTGTGGTGTGGCTGCTGTGCCTCCCGGGGCTGTGGGGCTTCTTGAGGGTATTGTGCTGACAGTATCTCATTCATCTTTTTATCTCTAGCCCAGTATTCAGCTTACTCTGTGTTCCTAGAGTCGCTGTTGAGTGAGTAGGTGAATGAAGGATCCATTTCTGAGGCATTTCAACAGAATACGGTACTGGAATGTGCATTTGAGGAGATGGAGGATGATGCTCAAGTGCTTAGCAGAGACTGAGTGGATGAGTGCCATCACCAGCCAAAACAGGGAATAGTTTTGATGGGATTGAGAGGGTTCCTTTTATTTATTTATAGACTTGTACTTATTTTTGAATAGGCATTACATATCTTGGTACAGAATTCAAAAGGCACAAAGAAGTTAAAGTGAACAGTATGTCTTCTCCCCTTGTCACAACCACTTTTTCCAGTTTTTGTGTATCCTCCTAGAGAGATTCTATGCATATTACATAGACATATTTATATTCTTTTGTTCATAAAGATATTCCATACATACTGTTTGTTGTAAGTTAAATAAAAAAAGCACAATAGTATCCCTTAGCGATCATTCCTTCTTAGTATATATAGAGGGTATATAAAGTTAAGTTTTAGAAGAAATTTAATTTAAAGAGATCGTGGAACATCAAGTTAGAAATACCTTGTAAACAGTGAAAAATACTGCTCTGAAGATTTTAGTGTCACCTGCCTAGAGGGGATTGTTGAAACCATTAGAATGGATAAGATTATCCAGGAGGAGTATGATGTGGAAGGAGAAGCAAGAACAAAATAAACGTGTTCTTTAGGGTAAAAGTGAAAAGGAGTGGCTAATGATTGTCTTCCATGAAAGAAGTACAAGAGTGATATCTGGTGAGACCAGAGAAGAATCTTCAGATTCTGACCACAAAATCATAAGGCCAGTTAAAGAAAACGTGAACTGACATTTGGAGTGGTCTATTCAATAAAATGGTTCAGATAAAAAAATCAGGCTACAACAAAATCCACAGAGGAAAAGAATGACAGATTTGATCACATAAAATATTTCCTGCTTCGGAGGCCAGCCTGGTGGCATAGCGGCTAAGTGTGCGTGTTCCGCTTAGGTGGTGCGGGGTTCGCAGGTTCAGATCCCAGGTATGCACCAACGCACTGCTTGTCAAGCCATACTGTGGTGGCATCCCATATAATGTAGAGGAAGATGGGCGCAGATGTTAGCCCAGGGCCAGTCTTCCTCAGCAAAGAGAAGAGGATTGGCAAGGGATGTTAGCTCAGGGCTGATCTTCCTCACAAAAAAAAAAAAAAAATTCCTGCCTGATAAATGTCTATAAATTCAAAACACAAGCAACAGACTAGGAGAAAATATTCACAACATAATCAGTGCACAAAATACATGAAGAGCTCCTATGACTGGCTATCATTGTTTGAGCATTTACTATGTACCAGCGATATTCTTGGTGTTTTGCATGGGTTATCTCATATAATCTTCACATGACCTTATGAAATAGACATTGAATGAGGAAACTAAAACTTAGGTAACTTTTATGAGGCCACATACTTAGCAAGTGACAGACCAGAATTTAAACCCAGACACTCTACTCTAGAATCCACATACTTTCCCATTACACTATGATGTTTCTCAATAAGAAGAAAATTTAACCTAAAAAAGAGGGGCACATAATGCATCACACACACATACGCAAATCCAAAGCCAACAAACATGTAAAAATAATACTAATAAATAGAAAAATACAAACTTAAATGGCAGTGGGTTTTTGGCCCTCGGATTGGTGAAACTAGAGTCAACGCTGCTTAGAAACAAACTCGTACTCTTGGTGAGAATAGAAACTGATACAGCCTCCTTGAATGGCAGCTGGCAACCTCCAGTAATCTCTGTGCTAACACACAGGATCAGACTGTCAATGCGACTCACAGCGTCAGAGATCTTATCCACAGAAAGCTTTACTCATGATTTCAAGGACACAAGCAATCAAGGCCCTGGCGAATCAGAGACGTCTGCAACACCTGCCTGCCTTCCCGGTCTTTCATTCCTATGCTGGACACGCTCTGTGGCCCAGAGTAATAGACAAGATCTCACATGAGGTTCGTGGGACATCTCACACAGCAGGGAGCCTTTGGGTGAGGAAATAGTGCCATTTTATACCCTCTATAGTTATATAGCTGTGTGACTTTCTCTCAAGAGTCATGCCTCACAAATCCATATAGTCTGTTTGTTTACCATAACCAATCCTTAACCGGCCAAATCCTACTAAGAGCATTCCAGAGATAAGAGATCTAGTAAATATCATTCGTCTATTTACCAGGAGGTCCTGTTTTCAGCACATTTACAAGGAATTTAGATGTGTCACCTGCCTTCTTCCCCAGAACTAAAGGCCAGCTGCTTTAACTCCTTCCTCCCCACTCTCCTCAGATGAACTTGCAGGTGAGCAAAGATATACGTAAAAGGATGATCATTGCAATACTGTTTTTAAAAGGAAAAAATAGAAATAACCTGAAAGTCCATCAACAGGGCAGAGAATTAGAAATAATCTGCAAACCCATTATTAGGAAATTATGACACACTTTCTACAAAACACCATGCAATGTTCAAGAAGAAAAGGAAACTATATATATAATTGCAAAAATTTTCCAGGACAACTTATGGAAAAAAAGGATATGCCACGCAATATGAAACTATGTGTGTAACATATATGCATGTAAATATCTAGATCAAAGAAGTGTGGATGGAACCACACCAAATTTTATATAGGAAAGGGCAGTGGAAAGAGATTGGGAGCAGTGTTGGGTGGAGGAATGCTTTAATTTTTTACTCTATTTCTAGAATATTTGATATGTTTACAGTGAGAATATTTTCATATTGCTGATGCACATGGACTTATGAGCACTTTAAAAATTAAAATCAGAATGAAACTGAGTGGATGACTGAGTAAAGATTACAGGATGTTGGACTGAGAAGGGAAAGGCACAATGGGAGAATAATTGAGGGAAAATATTGAGGGAAGGATATTCGTGGATGAGGAAATGCGTATGCTACTACACTGATGGGGAAGAGCCGAAGATGATGGAGGACCTGAGGGTAGTGCGAAGTGTAAGAGATGGGGGAGGATGAATTTGTGGAGCAGGATGAAGGGTGATAGGACCAGATGATAGGTGGAGTCCAGACCCCATCCCAGCAGTCAGCATTCATCATGGAAACTTTATGAGTAAGTATTGAAGAAATGGGGCACCCAAACTATTCAATCATGCAGGAATAGATAGCCATGGATTCATCTGTAGGCCCTACTCCTAGTTCATAAAATATGCTGGCTAGCGGGAACCACGTGGAGGCCAGGGCGACTGTAATGTGGAACAATTACAACTGTTTCAAATATGAAGCCAGAGCACGACCAACCATAGCAGACAAGGAGACCCTGCGAAGGCATCTAGGGCAGCTGTCTCTAAACCCTAACAGAGTTTATACCTTAAAAAGAATCTACACCCTAAGAGACTCTATGCCCCCGCTCCCACTTTCAGGGACCACCAGCAGGCCCTGCCACTGCTTCTAACTCCTTTACTTTTGTTGAAAGCAAAGAAATGGAAGCCGCCTGAATTGCAAAAGGATTTGTTATTCTGCATTGCGAATCCAGGAAAACTGCTATTTGAATTGTCCCTTTTCTTTCAGTATGGGGAGGTTTTTACATAACCTCCGTAAAGGACCGTAGAGAGAGAAAAGCATGACTCCTACTTTACAGAGTAAAGTAGGAGAAGGGCAATTGTGAAAGAGAGTGACTGTGGGACAGGAGAACATCTCAGAGGCAGTTGCTTCTTTTGAAGGGAGAGGTTGCCTCCTTGAGGCAGTTTTGCCTCCTTGAAGATGAGGATGGTGGAATGGTTTCCCTAAAACTATCCAAGGGGGTGTGCCCTTTGCAAAATCCTCATGTGCTCATAGGCATATACTTGCCCCAGTTTGAAGCCCACTGATCTAGGGCATCAGGCTGTGCAGATCCTGAAGATGTTTTCCAAAGGGAGAGTCAGGAATGTCCAGGATACATGGCAATACCTCCCAAGCGCCGAGCTTTCATTCTTATCTCACTGTCACCACATCCTGGAGGAGGAGAACCCTGGGGGCCTCAGTATTGAGTAGCGAGTGTGCCTTTCCTTCAGACAGCGTGGTGTTTGTGTTTTCATCGCTCTTTTCCTTCCTCCGAGAACTCATGTTTTCTCATGTCTTTAACTGTTTATCTACATTTATATACTTGCCAAATTTATGTCGACTATTTTCTCCAGTACTTTTATAGTTTTGCTTTTGAAGATTTGCTGTCTATAAATACTAGTTGACTTACTGAATTACTTTATTAGTTATAATAATTTTTCAGTTGCTTCTTTTTGGTTTTCAGAGAAACAAGCTTCAAATAATGATAATTAGGTCTCCACCTTTCCAGTATTTATACCATACTTTCTATTTTTGTTCTTCCAGAACAATGTAAGGTAATAGTGGTGATAACAGGCATGTCTGATGTTAATGAGAATGCTCTGGTATTTCACTGTTAAATAAATGTTAACTACTTG